TTCAAGGCGGGCAACTCCAAAGTCAGCTATCTTCACAGTTCGGGTCTTGTCCAGAAGCATGTTTTCTGTTTTGACATCTCTATGGACGATCTTCTGAGAATGAAGGTAGCTCAACCTAAACATGCACATAAACGGCTTTAGTTATTTCAAAAGCGAAAGATCTAAGATATGTGAATTCAGGCATGTAAATTAACTCAAATAAAAAGACTTGGAGAACAAAAAATAATACAGATGGGGCATGAGAATTTGACCCTCGTGCAAGATCTAGTGCCAGTTGAATAACAACTTTAAAAGCCAGCTTCTTTCTTCGATTCTTTATGAGGTAAGATTTAAGTGCACCACCGGGACAGTATTCAACAACAACACAGCAAACATTGCTGGGCATGCCGATGTGTCCATTTTCAGTTTGTATGTTCAGCTCTGATGTGCCCATTGTTGCGCCTATAAACTGCAAATGCGACTCAGATAATATAATACGAGACCAAGTCCACATTAAACATACAATCCCTTTCTTTGCATGCAACATGATGATCATTGCTAGACATACTGTACCATTCTTTTCTTTCTATTCATGAAGACTCTTAAACTGGACTTCAGAACTCGTCAATTTTTACAACAAGAAAACTAATGGAAGAAAGTTACTTTTAAATGATACAGTTAATTAACTAAAATGATAAGTAAACAATTTCCAGTAATCAATTAATATCAGGAGTATATTTTAACCATATTTTACCTATCAAAGTAAAGTTAATCTCAATACATTAGATGACTTTACAATTACAATCTATCACAAGAACACAATTAGACATCGCATCATAGGCTTTCCTTTATGAAGTCCCCTATTCCGATTCAGATATGATTGAAGGCAAGATATCATTCCCTTAAAGTATAGATTGTATAAGATATGGGAAAGTGCCACTGTGGGGAAACAAGCGTATAATTTTAATTCTAGAACGACTTGTTTTGATTAGGCGGCACTTTCAGTGGATGATCAAGCTTACCTTTGTTACATTGGGATGATCAAGCTTGTGCCAAACTGCAACTTCCTGTGTGAAAGCAGCTCTAAGTGAAGCTATTTCAGCCTGGGATCTGTGACCCTCTTCCCCCCAGTCAAGTAACTTAACTAAGCATGAGGAAGAAAAGGAAAATGTTTTAAGTTCAGAACGTGAAAAGAAAATCGAGATGAAAATGAAATTACAATTGCAGCGAGTGAATAAAACAAGGTATAACTACAAACTTTGTTGTAGGTATTGATTGATTAGAGATGAATTAGAGAATTAATTCAGGTAAAAACAAAAATAGTTGGAATTACAAGGCTTTATGTGATGCTGAAATGCCCATTTGGCTACAAAATCATCCATTAAGGTTTATCTCCCAAAAAGTGAGATGAAAAAAATAACAAAATAAATTAGAGCACATGAAGTAACAACAGCTAACTGTAAACTCAACCACTCTCGTGAATCACGGATTTGAGTAAGCTACATTTACAATATTCAAAATTACATTCTGAAATTGGAAAAATATTTGTCCTTTACTCTTGACAAATCTAAGCAACCCAGAAACTAAAATCACAGACGAATATTTCATGTTGTTTTTCTTGCAAATTATCAGTTGCTTGCAGCCTGGAGTAAACAGAAATTTAAAGTTATTAATAGTTAATACTGGTTTCTTTCTGTTTTTCCTACTTTACCTCACTGAGTCTTCTAAGCAGCAGAGAGAAAACAATCGAAATCAACCTAACAGCCCATTTGCACACATACAAGAACTCAAAAATGGAAAATATCTTCACCCCAAAATGGAAAGAAATAATAATTACAACTGGGAAAACCCTCGTCAATCAATCAACATATTTACCATTCATGGAAAGTCTCCATTGACCCATAATCAATTAATCTTTTCTCTTTCCATTAAAACCATATATAAATATTGCTCCATTCTAAAAATGGGTCTGTGTGTTTCGGTGTTTATGTGTGTATACATAGAGAGAGGGAGAGAAGGGAGGAAATATGAAATACCTGCAATATCTTGGCCATCATAAACGCCGCGGTGAACAGTACCAAAAGTGCCACGAGCAATAACAGCTCTGATAATAAGTTTAGAAGGATCAATCTCCCAGTCTTGCCTCGTTGAAGAAGAATTACTTGTAGGCCTTTGAAGTTGTTGGCCTTCGTCAACTTCCTCTCTCTTGTTCTTGTTCTTCTCCATAGTCCATGCTCTACTCAGATGCCTCTGCAGCTGCTCGTCCAAGCTCTTTAGATCTATCTGATCTGCTCTCACATACCCATCTCCCCCATCACCACCCGCGTTCTTCTCCTTCATCTCTTTCTTTCAGTTTCTCTAGAAACAAACACACTCTACACCCAAACAAACTTCCTCCTTTACTATTGCTGATGCTGGTGTTTTGGGCGATTCTGGTAGTGGGCATATCGGTTTCAAGTTTGACGATGATGGTTATGATAGTTATATATTATATATATACATACATGTTACTGGTAGTAACAGAGCAGGAGTACATAAAGAAATGATACATGTGGGCACATGGATTTTGGATGAAGACGACATGGGTAAACTGACCCACCTCGGCCTCTTCTCCTCCTCTCTTTTTATTTTATTTATGAATATATATATATATATATGTAAAGAAATATATAAATAAATATAGAAGAAAAAAGAAAAGGATCAAGCTTTGTCTGTGATATTTATGGGATTCACGGTCAATATATATTGAGCCTTTTCTTAAATCTGTGACTGTCTCTTTCAACTTTCAATCTTTGAGTTGATGACGTAACAGCCATTATTTATTGCCTCTCGTTATTATATAAAATTAAAATTTAAGCGCCCTTTATAGATTAGGTTAGATAAATTGATCAAATCTAATTCAAAATATAAAACTGGATCAAAGCTCCATAAACACAGAACAACCCAATTTCATCACCCCGAGTAGAACAGCTTCTGCTGCTGTTTGAGTGTGTTTATATATATTTATGTATATGTTATGTGTATATAATATTTGCTAATTTAAGAGCCAGGTGTTTCTTTATTTAAGGACTATAAATTAACCGCAGGGGATTAAAAAAAAAAAAAAATCAATTCAAAGAACAACCGCCAATGCTCATTGAAATAAACGTTAAAAAGATGATGATAAAAAATATTTTTTTAATCAAATACTTCAATATTTTAAAATGCTTTTTGGCTTTTCTGGGAAGAAGATACATACACATTTATATATAATGCCGGGGAATCCAAGATTACAATAGAAAATGTTATAATGGTTTATGGATGCCCTGAAAAAAAAATAATTTCTTACCGTAAGCTTTTTTTAATAAATATATTTTTGAAATTTCTAAATATTAAAAATTAAAGCATAGAAAAGAATACCATTGAACGTTTGGTGATGGCTCGTGAGATACTTATACCATCGAATCTTAAGTTGTAGCATCAAATTACTCTAAGATGTTCGTTTTAATTTTATATTAATTTAATTAGTGTATTTTTTAAAAATATTTAAATTAATCTATTTTCATTAGTTAATTACTAATTCTATTAAAATCTTTTGTCATGTGGCATCGATCGTGGTAGGTGACGTATTTTGGTCGGTCGATACCATATACCATCTGATGTAAAAAAAAAAAAAAAAAAAATTAAATGTGAACCTACATGAACTTATTGAATTTTTTTTTTATAAATAAGCAGTTTGAAATAATTGAAAATTATTTATCTTTTTTTCTACATGACATCTGACATAAAGAAGTAACTAATCAAAAGATGTCATGTACTAAAATTAGTGACACATAATATCAGGTGTTAATGGTATTAGTGGTAACTGATAGAAATGAACTAATTCGATCATTTTTTTAAAGTATAGGAAATAATTTAACACAAAAATCGGATCACAGATCAAATTGAACGAAAAAAAGTTTAGCCATACTTTAAGTCAAAGAATGAACTTCCCCATAAAATATGAAAGACAATGAGATGAATTAGAGTATGCCTAAAGAATAAGGGCATTTAAGGGCAAGCCTTTTCCTAGAGTTTGCTGCCCTAAAAGGCATGACAAGGATAACATCACTCCACGGTGCAAGTTGCATTGAACCCACCAAGTGATCCAAGTATTTATTAGGTAAAAGTATACATACAGACATCTGCTTAAATATTAAATTGACCTTTTTATTATTTTTAAATATTTTAATTAGTTTTTATACTAATTTTTTATTTCTTTGTCTCTCTACTCTAAAAAAAATATTTGTATTAGTTATTATCCTTAAATACAACTAACATCGTCAGTAAATTTGTCATGTAATAATAAGTTGGATAGGTCACTGTTTCTGATTGGGTATTTTCACGTTAGATGTCATATAGTATTAACATATAAAAAATACTTTAATATTTTAATCATTTATAATATGATATAAAAGTTAAAAACATAAAATTAAAAAAATATTTTGTCTTCTTCCACCATTCCTATGTTGAAGGAAGAGAAGATGTTCAAATGTAAGAAGGACAAAAGTGTTGTTGATGTACCACATTGTTATTTTAGGTTCAAATTTCGGATGAGACAACATAACGAATATTTGTCTTCTTCCTCGTTTGGGTTGGCCTTTTCAGGTTCAACCTATTCTTGTGGCATGCTAGTGGGAGACACCAAAAAAAGTTAGCAAAAATTATCTTGATTAATTCTTTTTGCATTGTTCCATTAACTTTGTTGGAGCCAGACTGGACATAATCGATCAATTCATGCAATTTCTACCTCTTGATCTCCAAGGTATTAGAGAAATTACAGGAGTAGTAGCACAATTGGGCCTTGTGAATGAAGATAAACGGCCAATTAATATGTCTTTTAGCAGTGGTAGAACCTCGACCAAAAATAATGGTCCAAAAAATGTAAATTGATAAAGTGTTTGAGACGAATCTGGACTAGTTAACATAGACTTAAGAGTAAAAAGAAAAGAATTATGACACCCCATGTCAAGATACGGGAGGCATGGTTGATAATGATGCTTTTAAAGTTCTAGTGATGGTTGTTATTGATCACTCGTTTGTCCTCCCCACATCTGGACAACTTCTCTTCCTTCAATGTGGCAATGGTGGAGAAAGAAGACAAATTATTTTTTTATCTTACATCTTTATTTTTTATTTTTTGTTATATCAAATATGAGATTTGTTGTGAAAATTTATCCAATCAAAAATAGCCATATGTCCAACTTGCTGTTACATGACAAATCTACTGATAGTGTTAGTGACATTTAACGAACAAAGATTAAGACAGATAGTTTTTAAGTAGATGGATCAAAATAACAAAAAATTAGTACAGAAACTAATTTCAATATTTAAAAATAGTATATGTACTAATTTAATATTTAATCTTATATTTACATACTAGTGAATCAACAATTAGTGATTAACAAGATTAAAGAATGAACTCCACTTATTTAACAAATATTCATTGGATATCACTAAATAATCAAAACATACTTGATTGAAATTCTTATCTATTAGTTTGCTCTGTCTACCTAACTTGAATGTTGGAGTCACCATATCAAGGGCATTTTTAGCTTGTATACCTCATATCTTCTCCTTTATAGATTTTATGGTTCATGACAAATAAAAAATCATCCACAATACCTTAACACCCATCATTGGGCTAGGATCTTTATGCCAAACTATAAAATCCATATTTAATAATTGTAATACTCCTCCAAGGAATCACAATTCTAAAACTCCTTTAAAGGCTTAAAGGCTCGATGATTATGTTGAATCTTCAACAAGTCTTTCACACCATAAACTTCACATCAAAAAAGAAAAACATTGATACTTTTGTAATTAAACATAGTCAATTTGAAACTTTATAAGCTATTGCCTATAGCCTAGTCGAATTAGTATCGTGAAATATTCATAATAAATAATCCTTAAATTAAAGTCAAAACCCAAAGAAATTACATGAACTTACCATTTCTTACTTTGCTTCGACTAAAAAATTCATCAAAGATACTGTTTAAAAGTGCAAAATGACTAAAAAATAATCGAAAAGATTAGGTATGGATGTACTTTTACCATATAAATTTTTACCACATTTTGTGGATCACATTGAAAACTTTAAAGCATAATTATGCTAAATAAAGCTAAAGACTTTTTTCTATCATCATTTCTCCATCATTCTTAGAAAAACTTCCCATTAATGTTATTCTTTGATATCATGAAAATGAATATGATCATTCAAACGGTTCCCAAAGGAATTTTTAGCTGACAGGATAATCAAATAGATTATAAGTCTCATCACTATCCACAATCAAAAAAGAGAAACCTTGAGACAATATATTAATCACTTTAACCGTGCAAATTTTAAGTACATAACTTGAATTTATCTAATAAAATTGCTACCTTTATTGAAAAATTAAGGTCTTCCAACCTAGAATTCTTCCTAACCAAAAGTGTAGTTGAAAGCATGGTTGAACTTCTAACACGAACACAAAAAGTACATCAATATGGAAAGGGTAATCACGATGAAGGAACAACCTTAGAAAGGAAACGAAAAAAAAGAAGTGATGAAAATAAAGAATTTTATGAAAAAAAAACATATGTTTCATCCCCTTTAACCACCTTAAAATTCAGCATTCTCACTCAAACCCCTGATTACCTATATGTAAACTAGCAATACTAGCTAAAAGCTCTGCTAAAAAAACAAGATCCAAATGAGTAATGTTGCTTCCATTGTTATCATGATGGTTTAATTGAAGAATATGACAACTATATGTTAGCTTAAGTGCTTATGGTAATCCAAGAAAGGGAGCAAATTAATTTTTTTAAACCTAAGCAACTTAAAGCAACAAAAAGAAAATACATAAGCAAAAAATTATTTAAGCAAGTTAAGATTTATTCATAACATATAATTAAATGTGATACATAAACTAGAGATAATATGAAAAAAAAAAAAGATTACAAACTCGATTTATAGAAGTCCAGGTACCATATCATGTGTGCATCCTTTGCTCAAACAACTAACACAAAGTTTCTTCTATCTTCTTTAATTTCTCCTACAAAAGGATGATGAAGTGCTATTTCAATCAATATAAATATTTTTTTTTACAAAAAAACACTTTTTAAAGATCATCATAATTGGTATTCTCACATCTTTTATAAATTTTTTTAAAGAAACATAAAAAATATAAATATTTACTCATTCTGAACAGATAAGCAAACATGTAGAATGAGAGTTTTTAAAATATTAGCTCAAAAACAACAATTTCTCCTAAATATCTAGTAGATAAGCATTGTTTTATTACAAACTAAATCAATATTTCTTAATTCTTCCCAAACTCCAGCGAAATGGTCATTTTACATGTATTAATTTATTATAGACTAAATCAATATTAAATGCTCTAAACTAATCATATAACGATTGATTTATATTGTTCTACATGTATATTATTTTACTTTAAAATAAAGTAAATTCATGAAAAATATTATTTAAGAAATAATTATTTTAGGAAGTTACTTGTTTTATAAACAATTGACATGATAATGTGTGAATCACTTGAGTAATAAGAGAAGAAAGAAAAAAGAGGGAATTTTTGCCAAGTGCAAGCTGG